GCCGCTGGTATGGGGTCAACCATACATGAGCAGTGTGTCACGGCGCTAGGCCCGACGTGTCCCTTGCAATCATTTTCGGGCCCGGTCGCCGATGAGCAACTGACTCCGCCTCTGCGAGACTCAGGTACACTTTCGCTGCCGTGTTGGTCTCAGTCTCAGTTGTGAGGATTAGAGGCAAGCCATGGCCGCGCTACCGGACCATCCTCACTTACACCTCCGTGCAGCCGATTCTCTTTGGGGCACCGCCATCGGATACCACCCGCCAGGTGCTTCGTGCCATTGGTTCACAGGGCGCACGGCTGCTGGCCTTGTGCTCCGTCGTCACTACGCGGAATATTGCCGCCGTGTTGTTGCTTACCTGGCACAGCGCAACCTCTATAGCTTTCGAGTTGCGACCGACTTCCAAGTGGCGGTGCGACTTGGCATTCAAGTGCGCACTACCATTGTTCAAGTCGATCTTGAAACTGTGGGCGCTGGCATCGGTGTCTCGCCTCGCTTATCTGTCGGTTACTCGACTTTATGCGGGGGCTGACTTCTTTCGCACTGCGGCTATCCAGTCTGCCCTCATTGAGACGCAGCCCTGGGCGTTCGCATGCCTTGAGCTGTGGGGGGTGCCGTACTTCTCCATGGAGCCGATGGGCGATCTCCCGCTTACGCGTCTACGGCCACCGCTGTCGGTTCCCGACCCACTCGATATGGGTGTTCCACACTCTGCTTAGCCCTTGCCCTTGCGCGACCCACCCAGGTGGGAAGCTGGGCAGGGTAAGTTTGCGGGTGAGGCGCCCCTCTGTCCTCGGGGATCTTATTCGGTGCTTCTCCGTCTTTCTGCCCCAGCCCTTGCGATACTGTTTATGATTTCTCCATGTTGCATACCGTATTTTGTGACACTTGTTTTATCGGTGATGCAGTCGATTTCACGAGACCATGCAAATGACATGTCTATGATCCGCAGGCGTTCTTTCAGAGTTGCAAAAGATTTTCATGGTAGCGGAGCTTGGGAAAGCCCAAGCTTCGAGACACGTCTCGGGTTTCCTTGTGGGTTGCACTGCGGCCTACGTTCGGGGAGCCCAGGCTTGGAACTCTCTTTCTGATTTCAGGGTCCTTCGGTGAAATCTAGTAAGCGCGGCGGGTAGCTGCAGACACCGCCCTCTGAGCGGTCGCCATCTGTGTGAAGGACGGCCACCTGTGAAGGCCTTGCATTGCTTAAAGAGCGGCTGCATTCTTACTACGTAGAGCAGCTGTGCGAGCGTCCAAGGCCAGCCGGCCGTTCGGGAACTTCTTGGGACAATATTCTTAGCACCTATAGGGTAAGATTTGAAAATCACCTTGAAAGTTTGGACACTATTGAATCTGTTTGGCATTTCGGCGAAAAGTGCTTGAAGAAGGAGCATTTAAAGGAAGCCTTCAGATACTTTGGTTTTGAGGACGTGTTCAATAGTGCTACACCGCAAGCCGTGCAAGCAGCGATTGTGTTTCCTGAGGAAGAGTGCGAGCGTGACATTGCATTTCAGGACCGGACATTAGGAGTGTTTGAGCAACCCTTGATACCAGGGAGTGCGTCGATTGATCTGCAAGATTCTTTCCAGTGTGCCTTGCAGCCTGCAGAAGAGCCGATTGATCTTGATTGAGCAGTTCTGTCTGAACAATGGCAAGCGCAAGTTTGGATGATGAGGATGATCCAGAACTTGCTGAGGGTCCCCATGCACCCCAAGGGCCTCAACCTTCCAGTAACCCGTTCAGCCCATCACGTGGCGGGGGACAGGCTGTGCCGATGATGACGATCAGTCAGGATGATCTGGTGTTGATGATGAGACAGATGATGGAGGCGACGACTGCGGCGAGCACCGCAGCGCAAGCAGCGCTGGCAGCAGCCAGCACACAACGCAAAGCAGGCTTAGGTGGAGGTGACATGGCCCGCTTGTTGCCGAAGCCAGATGTGTTTAAGCCTGCGTCGAGGGAAGCTGAGCACGGCGAATGGTCGTCGTGGCTGTGGAGCTTGAAGCAGTACTTGAGTGCTTTGGATCCAGCCTTCACTGATGAGATAAGCTTTATATAGAGCGCAGTCCGACCAAGGACTTGACAAGTGAAGCTTACGCTAGTGCTGAGGCTGAGCAGAGGTCCAAGCAGCTGTTTGCATTGCTGTCGAGCTTAGTGAAGGGCCGAGGCCTTCAGCTGATCCAGAGGGTCCCAGTGCCCAGTGCAGAACGGTTTTGAAGCATTGCGTCAGCTGATACAGCTTTACCAGCCTGCTTCGAAAACACGATCACTTGGAATCTTGAGTGCACTGACGAGCATGAGTCATTTTCGTGCAAGCGAGCCCCTGCTGCCGCAAGTCCTTGATATGGAAAGGATCATTGACGAGTACGAGCGCAGCAGTGGCAAGAAGCTCGACGATGATTTTAAGTCAAGCATTTTCTTGAGATCAGTGACAAACAACATGAGGAACCATCTTGCAACAGTGTTGACTGACGATGTGACGTATGATACCTTGAGGGAAACAGCCTTGCATTTTGAGCGTATGAATACCAAGTGGGATTCTAAGAATCTTTTTGCAGGGGACAGTCTGTTTTCCAAAAGCCGTGCGTCGAATGACGGTCCAGTGCCTGTGGAAGTGGATGCGCTTCAGAAAAAGGGCAAGAAAGGTGACAAAGGCAAGCATGGCAAAGGCGGCTACCAGCAGCCAGGGTTCCCACAGCCCAAAGGCAAACGCGGCAAAGGGGACAAAGGCAAGCATGGCAAGGGTGAGCAGCAGCCCAAAGGCAAAGGCGGCAAAGGGGACAAAGGCAAGGACAAGGGTGGCAAGACAGGCAAAGGCAACAGGCAGAATGTTGTTTGTCACTCGTGCGGCAGAAAGGGCCACTATCAGAGCGAGTGCTGGTACAGGGTCCAGCAAGTCCAGAATGCCGGCAGTGATGCAGCCAGCACGGTTGCGCCCAGCTCGGCCCATCTGCCTCGCAAGTTCAAGGTCCTAGCGGTGCTGCTGCCAAGAATGTGAATCGTGTGCAGCTTGAGTCGTCTGTTGAGATTGACATGACGGAAGAAGAGTTGTCCATTCAGTATTTTGACGTGCCTGCAGGTGTTCGAGCAGTGAAGTGTGCAAGTGCCGGCCAGGAAAGATGTGTGGGAGGCCATGCAGCCCAGGGTTTGTTGAGCTTTGGTGATCTTGTGAAGGTCCTAGCCCTTAACCCGCACGGGTACCCTAAGCTTCCCAATCTTCAGCCGGTGACCACAGCTGTGTGCCATGATCTTGCTTGCACAGACGAAGATGGAGAGTGGACAGTTTGCCACGGCAAATCTCTTGATTTGCGATGTGCTGCACCCGACAGTGCGCATGCAAAAGGTTTCATCCGAGGAGTCACAGCCTCCGAGGCCGAAGGTCAGCCGAGCATCAGAGCAGTTGAGGTTTCAGGCCCATGGCTTGAGTTGTCTGAGGAATTTCATGAAGTTGCTCCTCTTGTCTATGCCCGGCGGGACTTCAGCGATTGCTTCGTTGATTGTTCAGTGGCATTGTCAGCGCCTCACCTGAGCCTTGGAGTGCAGTATCGCACAACGCTTGTGCAAGACGGTTCGGGTTGGAATGTCATCGAGTTGAATCAGGATCTGTCTTTGCTTGAACAGCCCGAAGCTGAGTTTGAGCCGAAGCAAACGCGGCATGTGATCACCATTGCTTCTTGTGACAAGATCGATGTTGATGTGCTGTTCAATCAACCTGCAGCCGGCCCGCCTGAGGCCGAGCAGGATGCAAACATGTCTGATGCAGGGCTTCCCGAGATCCCTGCTGATTCCCTTGATGAGTTGCTTGAAGATGCGCCGGCCGCAGGGATTGGAGATGTCGACAGCGGTGAATCTCCCACCGGTGGCGAGGCAGGTGCAGCCCCAGACGAGTCAGAGCCCGGCAGAGGCCACATCGTTGTTGATGGAGTTGAGCTGCATGAAGGTTGCAATCTTAAGACGTTGCGTGCTGCGTGCAAAGCCCTAGGCATAGGCCAGAGCGGCGGCAAAGCTACAGTGTTGTCGAGGATTGCTAGCCATCTTGACAAGCTTAAGCTGCTGGAGCGTCACCAAGTCCAGCATGATTCGATTGCCTTGCAAAGCGAGCCGCGTCAGCAAGCTCCTGTGGCAGCACCGACGCCCGAGCAAATCAGATTGCACTGCCTGAACCACGTCCCTTACCAGCCGTGGTGTGAGCACTGCATCAAGTTTCAGGCCCGTGCTGACAAACACACAAAAGCTAGGCCCGAGACCAGACAGTGCAGCGTGTGCTCATTTGATTACTGCTTCACTGAGAGGCCTGATGGTGAACGCGGGGAAAAGCTCATTTGCTTAATTGCCAAGGACAGCCACACCGGTGCGTGTGCGGCCATCCCTACACCTGCCAAGGGAGGTTCGGTAGCTTTTCGGTTTCTAGTTGCCGAGCTCTGCAAGTTCATCAGCTTTTGCGGTCATTCCGAAGTCACCCTGCGATCTGACGGCGAGGCCACTTGCCGAGCGCTGCAACAGGGTGTAAAGGACTTTAGGGATAAGCTTAAGCTTGTTACGCATCTTGAGCAGGTTGAGAAAGACAGCCATGAGGGCAATCCAGCAGAGCAGGCAGTTGAGCAGCTCAGACAGTTGACTGGGACACTGTTGTCCCAGGTCGAGCATGAAATGGGCCAGAAAATTTCAACGATGTCCCCGATCCACGCGTGGGCTTGGAAGCATGCAGCATGGTTGCACACCAGGTATGCGCGGACCGAAGCGCACAGCCCCTTCGAGATCATCACCGGCAGACCATACCTTGGGAAGCTAGTGAATTTCTGTGAAGTTGTGTATGCCAGGGTGAAGTCTTCAGTCAAAGGAAAGGCCCGTTGGATCAACATGATTTCGCTTGGAAAGCTTGGAATTTCAGATTTGCATTTTGGGGCTACCAAAATACCCAGGGAGGTTTTCTGATTTCCAGCAGGAGTGTACGGAGGTTGCCCAAGCAATTTGGGCCGAGTTTTCTTGAGTACGTTCACGACATGCCGTGGACACAAGCCTCGTTCCTGGCGGGGCAGTCAGGGCAGTCCAGGCTCCAGAAGTCGATTGCAGGCAAAAGTGAAGAAGCAACTGATCAAGCCAAGTTGCCAGAAGTCGTTGCAAATGATGGGCCGAGGCCCATGCTGCGTCCTGAGCCTCTTGTGCCAGATGACACTGCTTTGTCTGCATGTCTTCCGCCACCTCCATTGCTGATTTCGCCAGAGCCTCCGACCCCTTCGCGTGTGAATCCTTCGCTTGGCCGAGCTACTGGGCCTGCTACACCGGCCGACATGCTTCCTGCATTGTCACCTGTTCCGGAGTCTCCAGCGCCGATGCTGGTTGAAGAGGGTGCAAGCGCTGGCGGGGATGCGCCAGTACCACCTGCTGCTGCGAGCAGCAGCGATGGATCTGTTGCGATTGGCGGAACAGTTCGCCCAGCACCTGTGCAGGCCGGACCATCGGCCAGAAAGCGACTGAGGCTAGATGCTGTTCAGACAGATGCAAGCGGAAATCAGTTGTATCATCAAGATGAGGAAGTTGTCCTTGAAGGTGAGGTAGCCGAAGAATATCTTGAGTGTGCTGATGCAGCTGATTGGGTTGAGTATGAAAGTGAAGCCGAGCTTGAGGTACCATCTTGTTTGATTAGGCCATTTTCTGAAAGTGAACCAATTTGCAGCCCTGCAGAACTTGATGAGATAGATGCTGCAGCAGATGAATTTGAGTTTCAGCGGCTGTCGGGAATTGGGGTCATTAGTGAAGTGCCTAATCGACTTGAAGGCCACAGGACGCTTACGACCAAAAGCGTGCGCGCATGGAGGCCAAAGGTCTACAAAGGATCGAAAGTTTGGCTGAGGCGTTCTCGCCTCGTGGCGCGGGAGTATGCACACTTAGATCCCGATAGGCCTGGGTTGTTTTGCCCGACAACGAACCAGATTATGCTGCGTGTGATTCCAGCGCTCTTCTTGAGACGCCGCGAGGAAGGCTGGTCGATGCTAGCGCTCGATGTGAGCGATGCTTTTCTCCAGTGCAGCCAGCAGCACCCGACTATCACTGGAATAGGTGATAAGTGGTTCAAGTTGTGGCGTATGCTCCCGGGACAGCGGGACGGCAGCGTGACATGGTACAATGATTTTACAAATGAAATGAAAGTCGCTGTCGGAGTTGAGTTGCTTCCCGAAAGCCCCGCATTGTTCAGGCTGCCCAGTGGAGCAGGCGGAGGCTATGTGCATGTCGACGACATGCTGGCCGCTGGCTAGACCGAAAAGTTGCAGGTTCTTGAAAGTCACTTGAAGTCAAAGTTTAAGGTTTCTAGCGAGTGGATTGAGCACATTGGGGATCAAGTATCTTTCTTGAAAAGGCGCCACATCCTTGTAAGCCCCACTTTGCTAGTGATAGAGCCTGACATCAAATACCTTGATCGTCTCATGCAAGTCACCGGGTTAGCAAATGCAAAGGAAAGGTTCAAAGCAGCTCCGTTTCCGACCGGAGGCCTGCCCACCGAGCTCGCATCTGATCGTGAGTTAGATGCAGCCACTGCCAGCCGGTATCGCTCAGGTGTCGGTATTCTCGCTTATATGTCTTCAGACCTTGTGGCGTGCCAATTTGCGATTCGATACCTGACCACCTATTCTCACTCGCCCACTGAAGGATCATGGAAGTTGTTGCGGCACGTTGCATCGTACATCAATTGCCACCGCAACCATGTGATCGGGCTCTCGAAGCCTGTGTCTGGCAAGGGCCTTATCTGCGATAGGTCCCGCGAGGAGAATTCCACTGTGCTTGAAGTTTGTTCAGACTCCGACTGGAGCGGCTGCAAAAGAACAAGGAAGTCCGTGAGCTCTTGCGCGATTCTCTGGGACAACATGCTGCTATATGCACATAGCAAAACCCAGAAGACAATCAGCTTGAGCAGCGCAGAATCGGAGTACAATTCCCTTGTGTCTGCTGCAGCAGAAGGTATTTTCTTGTCAGCATGCATCCGATTCCTCCTTCCTGAATACACGCTTGAGCAGATTTGCCTTGTAGACAACTCAGCATGCCGAGCCCTGGCGTGCCGACAGGGAGTTGGGAAAATGCGCCACATCAGTGGCAAGCTTCTCTGGCTTCAGCAAATGACCAAGGACAATGTGTTGTCCGTAGGGCCGATCCCTACAGCTGAAAACGTGTCGGATCTCGGCACAAAGCCACTGAAAGCAGAGCGGATTGAAAAGCTGCTAGGCATGATTGGAATCAGATGTGCAGACAGCGGCTATGCTGTTGTTGGGGAGTCCTATCTCCTCTCGACAAGAGACAAACTGCATGTCTCCCGAGTCGTCAAGCAAGGAGGGCTAAATGCCCAGCAAATCATACAAGTTCTTGCCATGCTTCTCCAAGTTGATCGCGTCGCAGGTGGAACAAATGAGCCCAATACCCAAAATGCCGAGGACGCCTTGAGCCAGGACGACGACAATCTTGGAGTGTTTGCACAGATTCTTGAATGGTTTGTGTACATGTGCTACCTTGTGCACGATTTTGCACTCGAGCATCCGACCGGGATTATGCTGATTGTACAACTGCTGATCTTGCTTATGTTGTGCTGCACACTGACAAGCCGCAATCGCGTTGCAGTGTTGAGGCAGCAAGCTGAGAGTGATCAAGGCGGTGCGGCGAGCAACGGCACACCAGCGCCGAGTGTTGCCGTGCACGTGAAGGTTGAGGGTTCCACGGTTTCGTTAGCTAGTCCCGAACCTGCCGGAAACCCTAAAGTTAGCCAGCCCACTGCAACTGGTGCCAGCGCAGCAGCGCATGCCGAGGAGCGTTCCAGCGGCGCGAGAGCGCACGCCGATGATCATGATGCTCCGGACCCCACAGCAAGCTCTTCGAATGCCAGTGCGATGCCGAAAGCAATGTCTTTCCCTCCTCCGAGGCATGTTATCGATGAGTTGAGGGCCGAGCAGCTTGTATGGGTTACCAAATCCAGAGGCAAGTCGTATCATCACAGGCGGACGTGCGGAACGCTTGGAAATGCAAAGGCACTTGAAAGGATCAGCAGACAGGAAGCCATCAATCGAGGTTTCAAGAAGTGCAAATGCTGTTACGGCAGTACTTGATAATGCTCATGATGCACCAATCCTTGGGTTCATTGCTCTGGCATTGAGCCGATCGGTTGGATCTTGTACAAAGGCCGCGAAACGACTGTACATAGACTTGTTGAGCAGAACTTGTCTCCACCAATTTGGTGGCAATACCGCATCGACTTACCAACCACTGAGCCAGCTGTGGAGCAGCTGGGAGTCTTCATAGGTAGGCATCGTGCCACCTGATGCATATAGGCATCGCAATCTTACTGTGTGGATTCCATAGGAGTGCCAATGTCTTGATGGGGCAGCTGCGAGCTGCATGCAACCCACTTGAATGATCCTTGTGTTACTTGTACGCCGAGCGCAAAACTTGAACCTTGGAAACGCCTTCGCTTGGGTGAGTCAAGCTTATCACTTCGTCGGCTGCGCCTAGCCTTCGGAAGTGATGTAACTAGTCGTAGATGTACAGTGCTACGTAGCAGTCTTAGTTGAGCCAACGACCCTTAGAGGCAGAGCTCGAGAACGCATAAACTTTCTCATGAGTGCAGTCGTGAACTAGTTGTATTTGTTTGGACAACGGAGAATCATGGTACAGATTCCGGTGATGCACTCAATTTCACGAGACCATGCAAATGACATGTCTATGATCCGCAGGCGTTCTTTCAGAGTTGCAAAAGATTTTCAGATACCCACTCCTGGGAAGCTGGGCACCTGCAATTGCCATACAAGTGTGGCTGGATCCGATACGGCCTGACTCTGCATGCAGCGCTCTAGACGCAGACTAGGCCGGCGCCCTGTCCCTGTACATTTTTCTTCCGGTGTTACAATGTCGACTCTCCGGCGGCAGTCTCTTTGTTCACTTTTTCAATTGCCCCGTGTCCACCTGCGACACACGAGATTGCTCGGTGCCGCCTCTGTGTGCACGGACGTGCTCCGTAACCAAACGAAGCTGTTCGCAGAAAGTGCGCTTCGTTGCCAGGCTTGTGAGTACGTTTCCGGATGCGCGATGAACCCCTGCCTGCACATTCGGCTGTGGGGCGTTCTGCTTGCTACGGGCTCGCAGCATACCATTTCAATGAGGGTAGGCTGGGTTACGGGCCATGGTTACGCTCCCTGAAACTCATGTGGAGCAGATGATTCACTACATCTCTGGCCGCTCGCTGAGTGTGCTCTTCTGTGCCCCGCCATCAGAGGCCACTAGGCCCACTAGGCTCACTAGGCAGATGCTATCTACCACCGATCCGCAGGAGAAGTGGGCAGCTGACCTGGCCCTTCGGCAGTAGTGGGTTGAATATCAGGCGCGTGTCTCTGCCTCCTTGGCGCAGCACGCCTTCAGAGGCGTTTCTGGTGGTGCCCAACTTTCAGTTAATTGTGCGGCTTGGGTTTCAAGTACGCGCTACTATTTGGCAAATCGATTTCGAAGCCTTACTGAAGTTGGCTCCTGTGTCACGGCATGTCTGCCAGATTCTCCTCGCATTGTACGAGGGCACCGACTTCTTTCGCGATGTGGCCATACGGTCGGCCTTGGCAGCCATGCAGCCCTTGACTGAGGGATGGCCTGGTCTGGCCGGACCCATGGGCATCTTGGGTGAGCTCCCCATTACGCGCCTGCGCTCCCCGTTTGGGGCATCCGCCCTCCCGAGCCAGGCTGCTGCTGGCGCTGTCTGATTGTTGCCCTTGCGAGGCCCACAAGGGTGGGAAGATGCTCTTATGCGGCGATTGCTGGCTTGAACTTTGTTCGGTAGGTCTTGTTGCCGCCGTTGACTTGTTTTTCCTGCCCTTGCGAGACCCACCATGGGAAGCTGGGCTGTGTGTGCTTGACGACCGGCACGCCGCCAGGCGCATCCCGCCGCCTATATGTATATACCTGCGTATTGAGCAAAGGCCAGTGCGGCTGCCCTTGCGAGTCCACTTGTGGGAAGCTGGGCTGAATTACTGGTACTCATGCATTGTCACAGCAGCATATCCCTCGCTCCGAAGTGTATGCTGTGGCGCATCCTTCTCTGTCCAGAGCCATCGTTATGCATTGTGCGGATTTCTATGGGAGGCTGGGCTAGTGCACATGGCAAACATGGGCGCTGTCATCTGCCTCCACGGATGCTGGACCCAATGCTGGACATTATGTGTGCCATTGCGCGACTCAGAGCGACTGAGAAGCGGGGCATCTGAGCGAGGGTAGTTGCTTGTGGCCGAGCATATCCTGCCGAACGACAACTGCCGGCTAAGTCTGCAAGTCGCGGTGTCTCACCATCAATGTGTAGTTTTGTTTGCTTGTACAGTTTATTATTGCCATTCTTGTAGTTCTTACTGGGGCCGAGTGCAGCAACTGCTGTCTTTGAGGCCCGCCCACGCCAAAAAAAAAGCTCATTGGCACTCGGATGCCACTGTCATGCTCAAGACACATGGTGGGCTTGCGCTGTGGTCACACTCGGTTCCGGACCCTCTAGCACACTGCACTGATCTTGCTCAAGCAAAACGACCTGTGGGTCATCCGAACACTCAAAGCGCTCAACTCCTGAATTGTCAAGGCATCGGCAACCGGATATATCCCAAGCCAAAGTGGCTGGCACGCACTGCATCAAGAAAATCAAAATCTGAAAATTCTGAAATCCCTCTCGGCATGCAACCTGTGGGGCACTGGATTCTTGGCTCTCACACCCGGTCGGCTCTCACTGCACGCACATGGCCGCGCGGCCTGGCTTGCACTGTCTGACGGCTGAGCCTCGGACACCTGATTGATACGGCCTTTCTCATGCCTTTGCTTAAGCCAGCAATCCTTCTCCAAGTAACTCTTGCGCTCACAGTAACGGCATGTGCGATTCTCACCAGAAGGCCGGACCCTTAGGTTTGTTGCCTTTGGCCTGTCCTTTCGGCTTGCCTTGGTTCTCACCGCCTTTACCGCCTTGTGGCTTGCCGCCTTGACCTTTGCTTTTCGGCTCGCCTAAACCTTTGTCCTTTGTCACCTTGTCCTTCTGCCAAGCGACTTGTAAAGCACTCGGAAGTGAAGTCTTGGTGCCGGAGTGCCTCACAAACCATGGAACTTTGGTGTACATATTGCACTAGATAGATCATGCATTTCGAATTGCTATCTTCGTAATGTCGACTTCATGACAACACAGGGGCTTCCAGCCATCCCAGCAAGATGGAGCAGTCGTGCCCCTTCCCAGGCCCCGCTGAAATTCGTTCAACCTGGGAACAAAAAATGGAGCAATCGATTTCGGGTTTTGCGGGATAGAGGAAATAAGATCGGGGCATGAGCTGATTTTCAGCGTCTTCAAGCTAAACTCAGTTATGGATGTGGTTTTTCCATGGAATCGGACCGTTCAAAAAGCATTGTCCCAGCACTCCTGAATGGTGCCTCCATCGAAGACACCAAGTCGAAGCAACAGGGGCCGAGCTGCTTTGGAGAAGCGGGCAAAGGGCATTGCCTGTGCAGCAGCCAGCCCTCGATGCGCAGCAGCTGGCTGACACTGGAAGCAATTGCAAGGTTGGCTGCACATGTGTAAGATCATGAGCGTTAGCGCTTGTGAAAAGTACTTCTGCTAGTGAGTTGTTTCGCTTCGGGAACGGTTTCAAGGTTTGGATGGAAATCTTGATGATCCCACAGTTTGAGAAACCTTCCGGGTACATTTGAGAATCTTCGATCTCAAAGTGTACCTTTGTTGTTTATGAGGACTCCTTGCAGGATCCTCAGTGGTATGTTTATATCCCACCAGATTTACTCCGTAAATCTCTGTGTGGTTAAAGCCCAATACGCTACTTCGTTTGTTCGAATTCGTTTCCACACTTATGTGTGAACTCTGACGCGCTCTGTGGAACGTTTTGGCTCAAGCCGAGTGAGAAAGACTTGCAGCTGTCCGCTGTTCGTGGGGTTTCCAGGGAAAAAAGGGACCTTAAGTTTTTCACGTGGTAGCGGAGCTTGTGCCTTGGAGGACGAGTCCGTTTTGGGGCAAGAGGAACAGAAAGGTTGGTGTGCGAAGGAGGATGTTGAATACACCTCAAGGGAGCTCTTACTCGAGAAGTCGAGAGGAGAGAACTCGAGGGTCTTCGGTTCCTGCGGCAGGGACTAGAGGTGCAAGGACGGGAAGGGATAGAAGTCCACCCGTAACGACTGGATATGGTCCGGTTCCGCGTGGTAGAAACCCGGTTTCTAGAAGCCCGCCGAATGACCCGCCCTGCAGGCTATCTTGTTGGAACAGCGGCTACGCAAGTATGCATGCCAAGGGCGATCGAGCAAGCATTTTGGAGCCACCTGATGCCGAGGAGTCTCTTGAGAGTGTTCTGCTTGAGGTTTTCTGTGATGCCGACTGGAGTGGCAACAAGCAGACCCGTCGCTCAATGAGCAGCTCGTCGTTCTTCCTCAACGGTTGTTGCATTTACACGTCTTGCAGATCGCAGCGTTGTGTGAGTCTGAGCAGCACCGAGAGTGAGTTCTACGCACTCGTTTCCGCATCGTGTGATGGGATATTCTTGCAACGCATCCTTCAGTTTCTTCTTGAGGTCAGCGTCGAGCTGTGCATGCGCACAGACAGCCGTCAAATCTCCATGAAACAAGGAGTATCGAAGGTTCGGCACTTGAGTGGACGCTTTCTCTGGATACAAGAGAAGACAGCTGATCGCACACTTCGTGTGCAGCCGGTCGATGGGAGGAGGAACCCGTCGGATCTGGGCACGAAGGTGCCGTGCTCAGGATCCCGCCTCCGTGCTTTGCTGTGCATGCATGACTTTGTGTGCTGCGCCGGTGATTGCATAGAGCAGGTAGGCCGTGCAGAGCATGATGCATTGTTGGACCAGTTGCAACGTGAGCGTGAAACGCAGAAGGCGCACAGGCTTGTGTGCAAGACGCTGAAGGGCAATGGAATGCAGAGCTTCAGCAGCGCAGTGATGGTGATGATGTTGTCGCTTGTGCAGGGTGCAGAGAGCAGTGGTACCAGGCGTGAGATCGGTGTGCAGACCGATGATGCACGGCGGTGATTTGGACATGTGCTATCCGACTGCTATCCTTCTTGCCTTGAAATCTTTGAGCCTTG